ATGTATTTTTTTACCTATAAAACTATAAGATACTGCTACCACTGTTAACAATGTCCCTCAAATTTGACTGTTAAGGAGTAATTTTGTTTTCCGTAGTTTTGTTGTAAGTAACATGACAAATTATTTGATGAACGCGTCTCTACTATCTACCACAGCACAGCAAAGAATTCAACCCGCGCAACACAAACGGTCAATGTCACGTGACATGCCAAGCTATATCACTGATTAAATATGGCAACCCTGAGTGCCAGTCATCATATTGTTTGTGCGAATTTCCCTGCTTATAAAATAGCGAGGGAATTATGGATGCTAGCCTAGTTAGATTAACGACATTATGATTCGAGGTCTGTCACGTTAACTGACATATTTTCACGATTATTAAAATAGATCCAACAGAACGGTTACCACTGCTGGTGAATCAGATGACTAAGTTTGAATCTTGTCTGACAGAGCGCTACTCCAACTAAACAGAATCGGTCACAACTATCATTTTACGAGAGTTTCTTTCAGGGGAACGTTCAAAACTCAGAAAAAGGATTGCTTCAGCTTATTGGATTTATTTAACTTGCAACCTGACAATCATGTTACCATTTAAAAGTTACACAGCTGTTCACAAGTTTGCATAAAGTTCTTTTTTTTTAATTTTTTAATCTCATGATTCATATAAAGACAAATTTTCTTATTTTTATAGCTTTAACACTATATTTTGTTTCGTTTGTACTCGTAACATTATATATATATATATTTTTTTTATATTTTGTCCTACTATACAGTGACAATATATTATAACACCCATTCTAATATCGGCCTGGTGGATAAGGCGCTCGACTCACAATCTGAGGGTCGCGGGTTCGAATCCGCATCCCACTAAACATGCTCGCCCTTTCACCCGTGGGGGCGTTATAATGTGACGGTCAATCCCACTATTCGTTGGTAAAAGAGTAGCCCAAGAGTTGGCGGTGGGTGGTGATGACTAGCTGCCTTCCCTCTAGTCTTACACTGCTAAATTAGGGACGGCTAGCGC